TTCAAATATGGTTAGATGATTGCTCAAAGATCTAGTTAACAAAGATCGGCAATTTCATCTGACTCACTCTTAAGATTTCTTTCATATTTTAACATTTGTTTATTCAATGATATGTTTAATAGAATGATTATGTCTATTTTGTTTTCTTTACATTAAGATAAATTAAAACAAAAAAATAAATAACTATTTTTAGTTGCAATTGTTATATATAATTATTTAACATTTAAAAAAAAAACTAATTCTACAACGTACAATTAACTTATTAATAAAGTACAAAATAAAATATTAGAATTATTAGAACAAATGATCAGAGATAATGAACGAGAGAAAAAACAGTTTATAATTATTTCTATTGGTAAAATTCAAAGGAGAAAATATTTCAATTTGATGATATACAAAAAATTTTGACTTGTTTTTGAATGTTTTATGTGGATTAATTTTATCCAGAAGAAACAACATAAGAAAATAAAGTACATTATATTATTGTTGAAAAGATCAAAATCAAGAAAACTTCTTACAAAGTTTGTTTCAACAAAATGTTCTGATTGAAATTGAATATAGGATTTTGGGAACCATTCGAAAAGCTTCAATATGTACTGAATCGGTGATATTGATGGATATCTGTGGTTTGCTCAGATCAAATAATATAGAGAGTCTAACGTTAAGTTTTTTTGTTATTAGTTCCGAAAACGATTCGAATTGTATTTATAGAATGTCTTTTTAAATATCATATTATTCTGATAAACAATTAGAAGCTTTGATATTTTGAAAATTATTTTATAGAAGACTTAGATTGCTTTGAAACTGAAAACAAATCTCATAAAATAATATTACATAGACAATTATTTCACTCAAAAAATATTTTCAAATGAACAAAAATCATTTCGTAAGTATCTCTTGTGTAGACTATGCTAAATATGTCAGATTGAATAATATTGAAATAAAACAATTATTCATCTGTTTACTTAATTATTAGTTCATTGAAATTAGATATGTCAAGATATATTTATTTTCGGCATGTGTCAAAGAATAAGTAACGTTTATTGGGAATCGATTCATTTATTCTTAGACTGATGGGATTTGGATATCCATGAAGTTGCTTTTAGATGTAAACTTACGTTAATCACGCTATTGCACTTAGAATTATGAAATTGTTTGGAAAAATTACTCCCATAGAAAATATGATTATCATGTCTTTCTTATAATGCTTCACACGGCTGATTAATATCAATACATATTAGACTATTTCCTCGTTTTTTCAAATATTTTCATCAACTGATACTTTACTCTTCCTAAGACGTTTTTAAATTGTGAAAAATAAATAAGAGATGAAATTAACGAGAGACAATTGCATTTATCCATATTTATTTATTTATTAATATTTTCTTCTCCAAATGATTCAATTCTAAATTGTACACAAGCTCTTAGTCAGTATCAAATACCATCAAAAATCACTTTTTCTTTTATAGATGTTTAATGATCTATCTCTTCATAGACATTAATCTGAATTTTAACATACATGATATAAAAAGCAGTTATCTTTATTATAACTGACTTGTTTTCAACATATATACGGTACTATCATTACAAATCAAGGAAAGTTTTCTTTTATTCTTTTGAAAAATTTACAAATTTAAGCAATTCATGCATATAGTTTTATTTTGTGGGATTATATTATATACTTCTGATAAATTTCATTCGTAATAGTTGTTGTTCCAGATTGTCAAAGAAACTGCCTTGATAGGACGAATTTTTTTTTGATCGATATTGTTATTTATCTTTCTCATTATAATTATAACAAAACTAAGAACACACTTTTTCAATTAGTTTATATTAGTGCTATTTGTACTTAAATATATTGTATCACAATATATTTATCACATTATTAAAACAAAAAAATAAAAATACAAATAATGTTCTAGTTATTTATTAATTATAAGTTCAGATGTGGTTAAGAAATTGTAATACGTTATAAACTGACATGATGATTTCTGAACGAATAAACAAAATTAAATAAATTAGAAATACTTGCATAGTAAGACTGTTTGATCTTATTATCTATCAGGTTATGCTACATTCTTAGTTTCAATTTTAATAGCTAATGTAAGTCCGTAATAATAATTGTGTTCACTGTAATCGCTTGAATCAAAATTATTAGATGCTCAGTTGTAACATTGTAATGCTATGATCATTTTCCACATTTTACGATGTAGTCTTATATAAACACTTAATAATTACATGTGATTATTTGCACCACAATTATCATATGGTAGCTATGACCATGTGTATTACAGAAATCATCATTTGTGTACTATAGTTGCTATATGAGAAACACGGTTATTTGTATCACAGAAATTATCAATCATGCTATAGTTAGCATATAGTAACTGAGTTGCAGACAGACAGATGAATTTTAGTTTCTGGGCTCTATTCGTTCAGTCTAGAGAATAGAAATCATATTGTAAGAACATCTATATATGAATTTAATTAAAAGTCAATTTTAATCGTTTAGATTTCATTCGATTCGTTATTAATAGTAATAAATAAACTAACGAAATATGATTCGTTGTGTTTTCTTTCAATGATATATATATAGACAAACATTAATCAGCTTACATGTAAAATAAAAAATAAAACTGTATAATATTCATTTATTATTGATTTATATTTGAATAAATTAAATAAAGGATTCTCATATAAGGGAACATTTTCAATTGTTAAACATTGAGCATCTTCCTCACTTTTCTACATATTAAATGTTTTCAAATTATAAGTAAATTCTAGATCTACTTAATAAAAAATTGAACAATGAAATATTCGACTTGGAAATTTCGTTCATGAAAGAATTTCATTGCTCTTATTTTAAAATATTTTCGATCATTAACTATGTTAAAAGAGAAACTAAGTTTTTGATCATGTTTTCATCAATCAATGTATAAACTTAGTCGATGTACAATTCTCGCTAAATTGAACATATGATTTTATTAATAACAAAAATTATTTCTTTGTTCAAATAGTGTTTATTAGTTGCATGGATTTCTTGTTGATACTACTCTCAATACATTAAGAATATTCTGTCACCTATGAAGATGAAATATTTACAAAAAACTTCGACATTCCATACATTCATATGTGTCTTATCTTAGATCAACAATTGAATGAACATTTATGAAAAATCGATTGAATAAGAACAAGACATTGAGAAACATCTTCGATAAGCAAATAATAATCTAAAACAAAGAAAAAGAATTACCAATTGAACTATCTAATGAAATTCTGTTTTCTTTTGTTTTTTTTTGGTTCTTACTGATAAAAAATCTCTTTCAATCAGTACTGTTATTAAATATTTAAAATATAGAGATTGTTGCAAATGAAATAAATATTAATATGAGTAAGTTCTTTTGTGAAACACAACTGAATTTTTTTATTACACCATATGTATATACAAAATCTGATAAAATTTTATAACAAAGCTTAATCTTATAGAACATTGAATGTGAAGCCCTGATTCCTATGTAAGCACACAAGAAAATGAAAAAAAGAAAAAGAACAAGACCAAAAACAAAAATAGACGTAACATAAATTAAACTCGTATTTAAGAAAATTTGAAAGAAATACAAAAAAATATGGGTTCCATGAATTTCGGCCCACGAAATTTTCGGCCCGGTCCGAAAATCGGTGATTTTTTGGGCCGGGTCGAAATTCCTGATGGACTTTTGGCCCATGACCTCATTGACCCTAGAATAAAAAACCTTATTTTTCGAAATTAGTTGCTAGTCAGCGTAGTGCTGAGCAAGACGTCATAGTGCTCAGCGATATGTCGTAGTGCTGAGCAGTATGGCTAGTGCTCAGCAAGATGTCCTAGTGCTCAGCGATATGTCGTAGTGCAGAGCAAGACGCCATAGTGCTGAGCAGGATGTCATAGTGCTGAGCGGTATGGCATAGTGCTGAGTAGTATGACGTAGTGCTGAGCAGAGGGTATGGGGTGTGGATGTCTCTTCCTTCAACATCCACACTACCACACACCTCACTCACAGTCACACCGACACCTACGCCATACCGCTCAGCACTATGATGTTCTGCTCAGCACTACGCCATACCGCTCAGCGCTATGTCATATCGCTGAGCACTGTGGCGTTCTGCTCAGCGCTACGTCATATCGCTGAGCACTATGGCGCCTGCTCAGCACTACGATGTCCAGCAACTAATTTAAAAAAAATTAGGTGTTTTATTTTAGGGTCAATGATGTTATGGGCCGAAATGCTAGTCTCCAAAAAACATATCAGACGCCATCAATATTAATTTATAACAATATCAAAAAAAAACTATCCTTGCGTAATGTTCTTGAGATTTATTAATTTTTTTATACATAGATTTACTCGATCACCTGTATTTGCATAATACACCTGGCTATCATGTACTTCTGTTTCTTCTTTATTGCTATCACAAGTTTTTTTTGGTCAAGAAAAGTGAGCTCCACATGTAAACTCCAAATTTGGAGCTCACTTTCCCATCCACGTTTTACCATAAAATACAGACCATGTTTTTCGGTTTAAAGCAGTACGGCCCTATTTGACTGAGAAACTATGTAGAGTTATATCTGATCTTCAACAGATACATTGCATGGGATGCGAGTAGCATTGCCTGTGATGCTAGAGGCATCATCTGGGATGCTAGAGGCATCACCTAGGATACCAGTGGTATACCAGGTGATGCTACTAGCATCCCAAGTGATGCCTCTACCGTCCCAGGTGATGCTACCAGCATCCCAGGTGATGCCTCTAGCATCACAGTTGGTTTCTTTGGTGAGCTCCTAATTTGAAATTTAGACAGCTCGGAGCTCACTTTTTTGACCCTGAACTTTTTCACCTCAGCTGAAGTCAATGAGTAAAACGTGGATGCGTAAGTGAGCTCCAAATTTGGAGTTTACGCAGTTTGGAGCGCACTTTTCTTGACTGTTTTTTTTTTCGATTTCTTCGTGCCGATTGTTTTAGTTCATTTTAAATTAATTCATATAGATGATCATTAATATAGTTTTTTATTATAATATCTTCATTATTTCTAAATGTCCATTTTCCATAAATCTTGCCATGTGTTGTCAATGAACCAACACAGAAGTTTCGATGAAATTTTTCATTTAATTTTTCAATATATAATGAACAAATATAACATGGTAATTTTGATAGACCAATTTCTATATCATTATCATTAATTTCATGTATATTTTGTTCGATTAAATAATCTATCATTCGTATATCGCTGTGTAAACATGTTATTAATTTTAAATTGGTATCATATTTAATAAATTTATTGCCAATATATTTTTGTTTAAAATCATTTTTTGTTTCATCATCATTTAAACAACATTGAAACCAAATTTTGTCAAATTATGCTGATGGTGTTTCAATTAAATCAACAATATATTCAGTGGGTTCAATAAAATACCATTGAATATTTATATATATATCTGCATAATTAAATGTTTGTTCTTCTAAAAGTTTTGAAATTAAATCAAGTGATCGAATACGTACTGATACTTTATCTAAATAATATATTATACCATCAGAATCATCGACTCTTGAATAAATATTTAATATTATTGAATGAAATATATTTGAATGATATAATAATTCACAAAACATTTGAAAATATTCAGTAATTTCTAATTCAATATTATTTTTATTAGGTTTGATTGATTCTCGATATGAAAGTATACCATTAACCCATGTAAATAATGTTGAAATATATTCTTTTAAGGCCCCCCCCCCCCTCAAAAATCGATCTCAGCCCAGGTATGTTCAAATGGGCTGAAATTTGGAGTATATGTTGGGGCTGAAGTGTGGAGGCTGTGATAAAATTTTCAGCTCGATACCCTGATGTTTGCCTGAGATATTCACCAAACAAGGGTCAAAAATAGGTCATTTTGGTACAAGGATTTCTCAGTCCGGACCCGTCTAACATATTTAAATTTTTTTTTTGTTAGAAAGAGCATGTCAGGATGCAGAGCACTACAGAGTCCTTTTTTTAAGATTCTTACTTTTTTAGCGGAGAAAGGAGATCACAAGTCCAATGACTCAAAAAACGCCCCCAAAATGGGTGTCCAGTCACATAAGTGTCTTTATATATAATAAAAAACAAAGCTTAATGAAAAAAAGGACTCTGTAGTGACCTGCATCTCGACGCGCTCTTTCAAACAAAAAAAAAATTTAAATATGTTGGACGGACCCGGACTGAGAAATCCTTGTACCAAAATCAAAAAATCATAAATCGAGAAAAAACGAAAAACATTTCTGGATATTTCAAAAAACCGCTGGTTTTTCAAAAACTGGTTCTCTGAAATTCTGGAATATTTCGGGAAAAAATGGAGGTTTTAGGAAAAATTTTTATTGATTTTGAAAGAGCAGACGACGGGCTATTTTCCTATGTATTTATCTCAATTTTGACAGTTCTCACGAAAATTGACTTTTTTTGAGGGGGGGGGGGCCTTAAAGACATATTCTTTTCTTTTAAACAAATATAATCAGCTGTACCTTTGTAATGTTTATCAATAATAATATTTCCAAATATTTTATCAATGTCATAATACAGTAACTCTTCAAGATTAGAAATAACATCATTAAATAATGGATCAAGTATATGTTTGATACAGTTATTTTTGTTATATTCAAATATATGAGATGTTAATATTGGACGTATTTCAATCACGCCTTCAAAAAAGTGCATATTTTTGTATTAAGCCAAAGAAACGATTAAAATAGATTTTATCATTATTGGTTAATGATTCATTACGTGAAATTAATAGTTGTTTTTCTTTTAACCATGGATATACTGATGTGCATTGATTAGAACCATTAAGTAACAATGCAAGACCATTCAAGAAACGATGATGTTCAGTTGATGATGAAGTAATTGAATAGGTTTTGATTTGATGAGGAAATAGAGATGATATTAATAAGTTATTGTAGAATATATGTGAAGTCATCTAAAATAAAAATCGATTGTTTTCTATGAATATGATATTATTAGATTAGTTGTTTTTTTTGTATTCTCAAAAAGTGAGTACATTCTAGAATCGGTCACTGTGTCCAATTCCGTCCGTCCGTTTACACGATAATTTTTGAAAGAAGAGTCAAATCGCGATGAAATTTTCTACAAAGTTTAGTCTTAACAATATCTCGGTCGAGAGAAGAAGATGAGAATGATTGACCGAGTTATTCGTGAGTTATTGCAAAAATAGTGGTTTTTCCCCATACCTTCCTATGGGAAGATCGACCAATCCCGGCTTTCGTAAAATACTTTTCCTATCATAGTCAAATAAAACTCTAACTATTATATACCATTCGATAGAGAATTTCACGAGCTACAAAACGGTATATAAAACATAAACAAACAAAAAGGCTAACTCACCTATTATAAAGATAATTAAACGGAAATTGGTTCTGTTTTTGTCCACGCTCTAATTGATTCACAATTAGAGCTCTATCTTCCGATTATAGAGATGATACTTCGAGATTTTCTGGAGCAGAGAACTCGAATCTGTACTCCACTTGCCTCGAAATACTATTGGTTGAGCAGTGATCAATAGAAATCAAGTTACAGGAAAAACGGCTTTCTCAGGGTAAATCAAGGCGAGGAGTTCAAATCTGAGCTGTATTCGCCCTCAAGTTCTATGGGTTGGACAATAGCTAATAGAAATCAACAGTTTATAGGAAAGGTTCCCAAGTATAATTTTGATGTCCATACATTCTAGGATGACTCATCTATCTAATTCACTTTTTGAAGTACACATAACTCTCGGATTTAAATCCGAAGTTTCCGCATTTATTTTTCAATACAATTAATAGATCACTGTTTTCTTGTTACAAATGATTAGATTATTTCAAAATCTATTTGTCATTAAAGTACATAGTCAAATAAAGTAAATATGTGATCTTAATATTTTTCCAAGACAGATATAACAATACCAATCTAACATTACAATGATCAAAGAATGAAATATAATAATAACAAAGACATAGAACTATCATATAAAACTAAAAATGAATTTTCTCTATCAGACATTTAATAGATTACTAGGAATAAAATCGAAATGTTTTATAGGATAATATCTGTATGTGTTATATAATTTAAATCCATCTTTTAGGGTTTCTTTTTGTAGCAGTATGTCATGAATAGTTTTAAAATACTTTTGGATTTTTTGTTTTCTTTTATTCCTTGTTTCATTTCTCACATCTTCATAGGTATATCTACTACGATTTCAAAGATTTTCTGAAATACTCTAAAATACGCCCATTCAGAATGAACCTTCAGCAAACTTAATTAAAAATGATTGAATTTATCTTCGATCTCAAATATTAACAAATATTATACTAAATGATACCTGCTATGATCAACATAATTTTTTCCTTTCACTATTTATTCTGTTTCTATTTCAATCAAGATCGTATTCAATTATTTTAAGAACAATATGTATCCTATATATGTAAGATTCATTTAGGTTCTTTTCTGTATTTCGTCAAAATCAGATGAAAGTAAATATATAATATAGTTTTTTTTTTCTTTTTTATAAAATTTTTCATAATGTATTATTATTTTCTAACTCTTTCAAAGCATTATGAAAAGCGTTCATTAATAGAGAAATAGAATGAAATTTTTATTAATAAAGTTATTTTTTCGATCAAACTCTTTTTCAAACTAGAGAATGATGTAAATAAGACATTAACGAGAAAAAATTCCATATCTCTCTTATCTATTGACTCAACTATCTTATGTTTTTTAACTAATAATAAATACATGTTCATACTAAGTATATATATGTAA